TTGAGGGCACATCCCCAGTAGGAGGTGTGCAGGAGGCAGCTGGTCGATGTTTCTTTCTCATCGATGTTTCTGACTCTCTAGTGAAGACAAAAGGCGGTTTCCCACATTAAAGTAGGATGTTTTTGTCCCAGTTTGCTAATACTTAAACATTTTTATGAATGGGAATTGAATTTTACGAAGTGATTTAAAAACACCTATTGAGATGATTATAAATCTTGTTCTTAATATAGTAATGGGGGAGCTACATGGAGATATTTCTCATAATACTTGAATCAAGGATGCTTTGGTGGTTGTTATTAATATTAAATGCACTGAAGTTTTATTTAGGAGTTTCTCATCTGTGCTTGTGAGTGAATGTAGTTTGTTCTTGGACTATGCTCATCTGGTTTGGTTTTCAGAGTCATTTTGTCAAATGACTTGGGATGTTTTCTCTTTTTCTATTCTCGGGAAGAGTTTTCATATGACTGGATTGATACAGTTGGGCAGAGTTTACCTGTAAAACTATTTTGACACGGGGATTATTGTTTTGTCAATTTTTAGCCACTAATTGAATTTTAAAAAAACGATTAAGAGATAGTTCAGTTTTCCTATTTCTCTTTTTCTTCTTTATCTTTATTGGTGGCACTGTTATAGATGTCCCTACACCCTACCTCCTCCACCATCTCCCCCTCCTTCCCCTCCCACCTGACCATCATACACAGATTAAAACAAATCCCGATCACACTCTCCATATAATGTAAGTCCTGCTTTCCTCCTTTCACAGTAGAGGCATTTCCCAGATCTTTAACTATTCACGGAAAGGATGGCTTTTAAAGCGTTTACTTTAACAATGGTTTTATCTGCTTTTAGATGTTCACAGGTTACACGTGTAGCACACACAAGGTGGAAACACCAGCCGTGCTGGGCACGGAGTGGGCACACCGTCATGCCTGCTGGACACGGCGCCCAGAACTAGCCAGGCCTTGTAACTTTCCAGAGCGAAGTGTCCCAGTCTCCTCACACTTCCAGGACGAGGGCAGAGCCATTAGCTCCCTGAGAATCAGCCGAGGGGAGGGGGAACTTTCCTTTTCTGCGAAAGGAAACATAACATTCTTTCGGGTGATGACTCATCGTTGAAACGCATCCTGTCTAAATGGATGAGCTCAGCCCGGCCCATGTGGCTCAGCGCTTGAGCGCCGACCTGTGAACCAGGAGGTCAGGGTTCGATTCCCGGTCAGGGCACATTCCTGGGCTGGGTGGGCTTTATCCCCAGTGGCGGGGGGAGGGAGGCATGCAGGAGACAGCGATCCATGAGTCTCCCTCATCACGGATGTTTCTCTCTCTCCTCTCTCTCTCTCTCTCTCTCTCTCTCTCTCTCGCTCTTCCTCTCTGAAATCAATACAAATATATTAAAAAAAATAAATAAATGGATGAGCTCAGATTTCTAGGTCTGAGCAATTTCTGTGGAAACATACTTGTAGGCATTTCTGAAAGTGCATGTAAAGGTGGCAGGTTCTTAGTGCTGAGGGAGGAGGAACCTGGGAGGAAATATTTTTTCCCTTTTGCCGACCGCAGTTCACCGCATAGGATATGCTTTTTCTTGTGTAGGTGGCGGCAGGAACCGCACCAGGTGTCTGACCGGTGGGGTCAGATGGGAGGACCTGGGTTCTGGCCAGGAGAGAATGCAAAGTAAAGACCCAAACTGTAAAGAACATCTACCAGGTGTACCGGTTAATAAAGAGGATTTTGTAATTAAAAACACACACACCGTAATTTCAAGAGAAACATCAAAAGTGCTTTATTCAAAGTAATGTCCATTGCTAGCTACACATTTTCCCATCTTTCAGGGAATTTGTGGATACCGTCAGGATAGAACTTTTCTTGTTTTGAGGCACACCAGTCAGAGACCAAATTTTCCACTTCTTCATACGTTCTGAAGGGCTGCTCAGAAAGTGTGCGTGCCTTAGATCGGAACAAGGGGTCATCTGAAGGAGCAAGGGTGGAGAATACGGCGCGTGGGCTAATACTTCCAGGCAAGATCTTTTCACGTGTCTTTAACTGGTTTTGAAGTGTGTGATGGTGCGTCATCATGAAGCAAAATTACTTTGTCTTCTGGCCTATTTCTGGTCATTTTACGATCAAAGTGTGGTTCAAATTGACCTAGATTTTCTTTGTATTTTACATCGAAACCATCTCTTTTAAAGTGTTTAAACCAGCGTTCCTAAGTATCTTGAGAGGGAGCATGTTCATCATACGCTTCCCGAAGTATATGATAACTTTCAGCAGCACTTTTCTTCAAAACAAAGTAAGGAATTAAAACTTCTCACAAATACTCTTTTTTTTGGCACTAAATTTGACATTTTTTAAGCAAAAAAATATCTATGATGTTAACACCTTCAGAAAATTTGACCTATGAAGTTTTGAAGCTTTTTGCAATACAACAAAATAGCATACATATCAAATCACATATATATCAGTAACTCCGTCTGTTGAAAAAAATCCGAATTATTGACCGGTACACCTAGTCCTTTATGATAATATGCAAATTAACTCTCGCTCCGTCACAAGATGGCTGCACCCACAGCAGAGGCGGGGTTCTTGTCACAAGCCATAATGAAGGATCAGCAGGGACTGAGGCTGTGTGGCACCAGCTGGGGTGGGGGACCTGAGGCTGTGCCCCACACCTGATGCCAGGCCAGGGGACCTAAAGTTGTGCCCCCTGCCTGGGAGGGCTTGACGGGGGTGGGGCCAGCTGGGTCTGAGTCTTGTGCAATTTTGAGGCGTGTGTGGATGGGTGGGGACTTGACTCTGGATCCAGTGGCACCCCCCAGCCTCTGAGAGGAGGAAGATTTTCATATACATTTTGCTAATTTTCTTTCATCTCCGACACTTCTATTATAGAGGAAGGGCACACAGCAATATTAAAATACTTCCTTTAATGAACCCCCTTTTAACGTGCACGGATTTCATGCACCTACCTATCTATCTACCTATCTTCCTCCTCCCTCTCCTCCTCCCTCTCTTCCCCCTCTTCCCCTTCCCCTCCCCTCCTCTCCTCCTCTTTCTCCTCTTTACACATCGTCCCTCGTAGCATAAAAATAAAAGCATGATATGCTAATTAGACCGGACGGCCGAACAGCGGGACGACCATTCGGATGGCCTTCCGGATGAAGCCAGGGCTGCGAGGGTCGAGCCCCTTGCATGGATTTTGTGTGCCGGGGCCTCGAGCGTATTCAGAACATCACAGAGGGAGCAGGGAGTGATTTGCAGAAGAAACAGGCTTAGGAAACATGTTGTAGAGGCAAAGGAAGGGCCTTGGAGCTTAGATGTGAGGAAAGTCAAGGTGACCTGCCTGGGGGGAGGGACGAGGAGAGGGAAAGCAGGTGTGGCCCCCTGAGGGAGAGGGTGCTGGTCCCCCTCCTGGGGCATCAGGGTGGAGATTTCAGGGGAGCCCCCAGGGGGAGGGTCTCGGTAGACTGTGTGTCACCTTCCCAAGGGTGTCCCCTGAGGGTCTCCACAGGCCTGGCTCCCAGGACCCTGGGTGTGGCTGTGAATTTCCACCCCCTGTTTGCCCGGTCACGTCCTCCTCATTCCCGTCACCCACGGGCGTCCCCCGATAGCCACCCTGAGAGGGAAGACGGAGCCCCATCCTCTGGGAGCCTGGCTTCCATCCCACCGAGGGGCAGGACCCACAATGAGAATAAGCAACACGCCAAAACCAGTTTGGCTCAGTGGATAGAGCGTCAGCTTGCGGACTGAAAGGTCCCAGGTTCGATTCCACTCAAGGGCATGTACCTTGGTTGCGGCCACATCCCCAGTAGGGGGCGTGCAAGAAGCAGCGGATCCATATTCCTAGCTCTCTATCCCTCTCTCTTCCTCTCTGTAGAATTCAATAAAATATATTAAATAAATAAATAAACAACACCCTGGGTCGCCTGGGCCGAGTGAACCTTGAACTTCAGGGCCCCGGTGCAGGGAAGAGGCGTCTCGGGGTCCCCCAGGGACTGAGCGGGGCCCCTCCTGCTGGGCCCCACGCGGTGTTGGTCTTGGAGCGGGATCAAGGCTCCTGCCTCCCTCGCTGCAGACCTGAGCAGGGGAGCAGACTGACATGAGAGTTTGTCTCGCTGTGACGAGCGTCTGGCCCCGCGCCAGACTACACCTGCTCCGGTGGAGGGAGCGATGGTGTCTCATCCAGAGCGTCTCCCTCCGGCGTCTGACCCGGGGCCGTGTGACAGACAGCGCGCTGCGGGGTGCCAAGGATAACAACGGCGGAGCCTAGCGGGCGTCGGGCGTCGGGGGGCAGCAGGTGGGAGAGCCGGGTGTGGGGAGACCCGCGGGGAGGCAGGCCAGGAGGGCTGCTGACTCACAGGCTCTGGGAGTGACTCCGCTGCCTTTGTTGCCGCTTCCCCCCGGGGGCGCCCGTGTGGGCGTTGGCTCCTGGATGGGCCCCGGGCAGAGAAGGCCAGGGCCCTGGAACCACAGGTGCCCCTTGTTCTGCGCCTCCCTGAGTGTCAGTCCTGTTACAGCCACAGTCACCCACGGTGCTACTCCTGTGCCACCCAGCGGGTGGGGCGTGGTCCGGGGTAGACTCAGTGATAGGTCAGGAGATAATGGGCCTTAAGAAGCCACTCTGCTTATTACTAAAAGCAGGGCCCTTGACCCGGCTGGTGTGGCTCAGGGGTTGAGCCATCGACCTATGAACCAGGAGGTCAACGTTCAATTCCTAGTCAAGGGCACAGGCCCGGGTTGCGGGCTCGATCCCCAGTAGGGGGTGTGCAGGGGGCAGCCGATCAGTGATTCTCATCATTGATGTTTCTCTCTCTCCCTCCCTCTCTCTTTCTCTCTGAAATCAGCGAAAAAATATTTTTAAAAAGCACTTCCTCCACTCACCCAAGTACGTGTCCATCATTTTACTTTTTATCCAGTCGCAGGGGTTTCCCACCGCCTGGCTTTATCCCACCTCCTTAATGTAGCACCAATGAATTTCATGTAACCTGCCTATGTCCCTCCTTTGATTGCAG